TCTTATTGTGTTTCTCCCAGACTCCACAGTACCTTAAGGGCAAGAGTTGAACAGATACTGAGTGAAATGAATGGATGTCTGTTGAACAGCTTTGGGGCAGGGCACGTAGAGCTCTGGGCTGACAGCTGCTGCTCTGATGGAGTGCTGACATCCTATGAACATATGCAAATAGTCCTGCCTTCAACTTTAGAGCTCAACATTTCTCTATTATATATTAAAATGAGATCCCTTACTGCCTCTTACTGCCATTTGATTAACTGCACTATTAAGTTATTTTATAATGCCACAGAAAGTACTAAGTATTCATGGCATCAAGACTTTGCCACAGATTTGATAATGCAGAGGCATTCAGATTTCAAGACCAGAATGAAATGAACCATGGAGACAGAAAAGCCAAAACCATTTCACATTGCCTTATGTCTTACAGAATTTCCTATTTGTTTTTTTTTCCGGAGTTACAGAATAAAGATCTAGCTCGTGACTTTTGCTCATGTACATATTATTATATATAGTACACGTAATATAAAATATGAAATAATAAAAGGTTCAGATATACACAACTTATTACTGAAACAGCACAACTAGTGGCTACAGGAAGCATCTGATTTGCACATGTCTAAGTCTTATTTAGGGCACTCAAGTAAACCAAAGGCCTCCTTCTGCCTCTAGAAGCTCATCTAGCCTGACATCTTCAACAACATTCTGCTCTATATTTGGGCTGCTCTTCCCTTCAGTTCACTTTTGCAAATTTTTTTGAGTACTGTTTTTCAGAGATGTTAATCAGATGTTTTCAGAAATGCAGTTGCCTTCAAGGATATTTCATTCAATTAATATTTGTCAGTCCTTTGTTTATTCCCTATAGGATAACCAATCCTGAGGAAAATAAACTTCCATTTTAATTGACGCTGTTCATTCTGTTATTCCATGTGTTTTCTGACACCAAACTGCACAGTGCTTCATTTGTACTATATTATTTGTAACTTCACAGGTCAGATTTTCTTTGGGAAATTCTTGGATGATATTAGAGCTGATACTAATCATATTAAGTAAAATGCCACTTAATAGGTTCACCTATGGTGTCTTTATGCTCTGAAATTTTTATATATAAAAATTATATACTGCATTAAGTCCTAGAAATGATTACAGTGAAATGACCAAAGCAGGTTGTAGCTTCTGGAAGAGACCAGGCAGTGACCTGGAAACGCTACGAGAACTCCGGGATTACTGTTCTGTACTTAACATCAGTGTGTTATACAGTGGAACGCATCTCATGGTGTGTATTTTTTCCTCACTTCTTAGTTAATACCTTTCCTTCCATTTCTTTACCAAGTTTTCAGCCATTTCTTACATATTTTTTAATTTCAAAGATTGTGTCTTTTTTGTATTTTGGTTTGGAAAGAATAGTTTTTCCTTCTCACCTTATTCCTAAGGTTTTCAATTTCTAATTCAAGGTGTTTTTTTCTGTCCCAGTATTTGGAAATGTTTTACGATATTTAAGTGAGAATGGATTGTGTTACAAACTTCTGCTTTGGGATGTTATTTCCTAGGGGCAAAATTTTCATCAGCTCAAATGAAATGTTAGGAAATTGTTCTCTGCTTTTATTAAGTTTATGCGAGTCATGTCATATATTTGCATTGCTACTTTTTCTTTATACCAATAATACAGTTAATACTACTAAATGTACTTGAGAGCTTGAGGCAAGTCAGATTTCTTAGTTCAAAATTACTTTTGATATGGTGAACTATTTCCTTTTAAACACTCATATTGATGGAGAGATTATCTTAACACTCTGTCTCTTTTGTGTTTTAAGAAACATGTATTCCCCTCTTGCTTCCCTTTATCAAGTCCTCCTAGATAACATCTCCAACAATGGGATTTATTTAGAAGTGGTGGCATCTGAAATTTCTGCCTTAGACTTGTTTTGTTAGCACCTTCCTAGTGTTCAGTGCTCTGACCTGCAGCATCTCCGCTGATGGGCAGCACACTGTTTCTGAAAGTGACTTTATCTAATTTATTTCATCTTTCTATCTTTACCCTCCCCTCAAACACCCATCCTGCCACATCTACGCTTACATCTTCCTTGGGGTTGCAGGCTCTAAAAGTGACTTTGCTAAGCCTTGATGTTTACTATATTATTTACAAGTAATTTGAAGTACTTCCTATTTACATTAAACCACTGATTATGGATAATTTGTTTTTCAAGACTATGGATATTTGGAGTTGTGGGGAGATTTAGATTTCTCTCTTTTCTGTGACAACCTGGGAATTCTCTAAAATCCAGGAAATTAAGATTAAATTCCCCACACTGTCAAATATTGCGATCCAGTTTTGCAACCCATACTAGTCTGTATCAGAAAATGTCTGATGTTGTAATTGAGAACCGCATACCCGAAAGTGCAGACAGGGAAACGGCACCATGTGGCAATTCCAGACTACCTTCTTGTGTAACTGATAATGAATTAAGGTACCAAGGTGAAACAGAATTAGCTCTGTAATACTGAGTGCATCCAACAGTCTTAGCCAATGTTTGGTGTTAGCAAAATCACTTCCCCAGAAAGGTATGTAATAGAAGAATTTCATGAATGATCTAGTACCTGAATGAGGAAATTATACTCACTGAATAGCAAAACTGCTACCTTGAACATAGAAAATGTGCCAATATTGGTAATTTAATAAGGGTTAAAAACATTGTATTTGGGGGATATTCTATTTTGATAGTACATAAGCGTGAGGCTTCGCAGACAGGAAGAGGATTTGCTCTTCTGCAGATCAAGTTCCATTCTTGCTTTCAATAAATATTCATTGATCAGTCTGCAAAGAATGGATGAAAAACATGATTAAGTAAAAGCCTTCAACATCAGAAAGATGACCAGGCGATACGGGAAGTGGGCAAGAAAACTACTGATTTCTAGAGTAGAAGCAACTATTGCCTGTTTAAAGATAAGGAGAAATCACCAGCGGCACTTTTACACATGGCACGTAGCTTGCTTAAATGAGTGTACATGACACCATGTGCAATGCTGAAGGCTGCAGGCGCCTCACTGAACATCAGGCTGTTCCCTCAGGGAAGTCGTCATGTGAACAGAGGGGTAGTGACAGCACCACCACCTTGCAGCACCCGATCCGCTGGGCACAGCCAATCCTACCTTTATGGAAAGTGTTGTTTAATATGATCTAAAAACCAGGGTGGAAACAAACTTACAAAAATCAATCACGTGCAGCAGTTTTTAAAAAGCTAAAGCCAACTTTAAATCACAGGCCAACCTGACGTTAGTACTTTTGGCAGGGATTTGAAACATCATATTTTTGTGGGGTTAAGTTGGTACACTTGAAAGAGCAGATTGTAAGATGGACAAATCTTATCCTCAACTTCAAGGCTTTGACCAGAAAACTGATCTGTAAATTATGCCATCAGACAGGAGTGCTGGGACACTCATCAATGTTGGGCTTATCAAGCCTCGGTACAAGAACCCATTCTTTCAAGTTCTTGATGTGACTTGCTAACTCATATACAGAAACTAAGCAGCTGTCTGGCCGTTACCCCACAGCAATGTACCTCATCACTCAGGACCAGCCTCTCCTGGGAAGGGAAGACAGGAAGGGGAGGTTTCTTTCTCTCACTCATGTTAAGTCCATCCCTCAACTACTTTTCCACTTAGACCCTGCTACCAAATATGGTTCCTTTTGATTCCTGACGATTTTTGGGCTGGTCAGAAATTAGACTAAAGTCAAACTAATCTCATGAGGTAGCATTTCATTTTCTTCAAGAAAATAGTCCATAAAAAAACACCAGAGCAAACTGCATTCAGCACTGGACACTAAGAAAGAAAGTAAAGTGCAGGCACATCTGGGCAGTTACCGGAATGCAGATTGCCAGGCAGCTGTCCAAGAAGCTAGAGATGGTCCATAGCACATAAACTGAGAAACATATCAAAACTTAAGATTCTAGCAAACCAGCTTTTACTGGGGCCAAAAGGAAATCTCAGGTGGTAAGAGCTGACATAGACAGCTGTTCTGTTCTATGAAAGGATGGGAGAATCGTTCAGGATGATTTTGCAGGAATCCAGAAATGAACTTTTATAAGCATGTCCTAGTTTTTAAATGTTGGCTTAAAACAGTGCAGCACCCTCTTACCAAACCATCCAGAAGAGACTGCCAGTCTGCAGTGTCTTTCCATAGTAGTCATCCACTAGCTGTAGAAGTCCAAAAGTGAACAAACCAAGATTTAAAAAAAAAAAAAAAAAAAAATATATATATATATATATATATTTGGTGGTACCAGGGATTGAACTCATGATCTTGCACTTGCCAGGCAGACACTTAGGCCGCTGAGCTAAATCCCTAGCTAAGATTCAAATATTTGATAGTGAGGCTAGAGATTTAGTTCAATGGTTCAAGTGTTTGCCTAGTAAGCATAAGGTCATGAGTTTGATCTGTGGCACAAAAAAAAAAAAAAAAAAAAAAAGAGTGCTAAGATTGTTTTAAAAAAAATTGGTAGCACCCTAAACCCAAAATTAAGCGACTATTGACTTTTAAGCAGTATTTTACTATGTATCAATAACTCATAGATAAGATCAACAGTGCTAATTATCTCATCTTTTACCTTTTGCTCAGGGCATAATACAGCCAAAGCTCCAGAACAAATTTGGAATATTTCCTCAATTGTATTTTATATGTACTGGTCAAAAGGAGAAAAATTAACGTAGAGAAAAATTCCTGATGGTTACACATGGAGAAAAAAGCAATTATTCCTTTAAAGTAGAGAGGAAAACTGAAAGCACAGGAGTTATCTCCCTTTTTATTACAACTACCTATGTCATACTCGTATTTTATAACAAATTAGCAACAACATTCTCACCTGAGAATCAAAAATTAAAATCTCAAAATCTAAAACTATCAAACAATCTAATGTATAGTTAATTAAAAAACTAATACTGGAGAATTAGCCAAATGATAAAAAAACCACGTTCGTAATAGTTTGTATTTCCGAGGAGAAGCATTAGGCATTCAAGTCATTACTTTATTTTCAAACATATCTAGTACGCCATGTGAATTTAAAGAGTTTGATCTGTTTCCAAAGAGATTACATCGCTTGAGAAAGTCTTCCCATCTGCAAAACAAAAACAAAAATGAATGGGATTTAAAAATCTCTACTCATTTTACAGATATTATGCACTTTCATTAATACACTGTTAATCAGTTTAGCACATCAGAAAGCGTTTACAGTATCATGATTTTATTCATACTGATTTGCTTCATCACATGCACCATGAAAAAAAAAAAAAAAACAAGAAAAAGAATCTTTATGAGAAGGGCTTGGGTAAATCATTTCTCTTCTAAAGTATTTTCTCAACTAGGAAAAATAGACTTTTTACTCTAAGGTACATTTTGAAATTTATTTTCATCATCCTACAGAGCTTCCCATAGTGTTGTTTTAAAAAACTATGATACTAAGTAATATTTTATGCACACAGAGGATCTAACCACAGAGCACATGTAAGTGTCTCTGAGCGTGTACTAACACATGTCCCTTAATGCAGGGGTTCTCAGCCTTGGAACTCTGGTATCTCACCACCTAGTTGGGTCAATCACAAAACAAAGAACATTCACTCTTCCCATTTGAGGACCACTGCCTTCATTCTCCCAAGACAGCTGAGCTGATCACAATTCACAGTAGCACATATCTCTGGGACACAAAGATTTGTCTAGAAGATTTTCCTTTTTCCCTGGAAATTCTGACTTATTAAATTAGATTTTAAGAGCTGGGAGCAGTGACCATTTAGAGAAGGAATCAAAAAGTTCAGAGTGTTTAAAGAGAATGTTGTAAGCCACTATTATTTTAGTATACTACTACTCATCAATCTCTTTAGTAGAATTCTATCTGGTTTGAACTTTGAGCTCTTGAATAAAACTGCTTGGGTGAGAATCCTGACCCACTGCCATCACTACAGGAGCTATGTTATCTTGGTCATCTTACTATCTTTGTGTCTTGGAGTTAAAATCACAACCTTGCTTGCTAAGAAACCATGAGCTTATTAATGTAAAATGGTACTGAGTCACTGGCAATTAATTAAATCAGAGATAATCTGTAGGTTTACAAATTGTCTCCACCAATACTACAGCTAGACTTAATATCAGAAAGCACGTGTATGCACCTGTAGGGGTGTGATTTATTTTGGAAGGTAGGATGGATAATTCACTGCTTTACGAAGATGTGAATTTCACTCATTACCTGTGAAAGGCGATGAACCAGAACATCCTTATTTCTTCAGTAGTTGGTGTCTCACTATCAAGAAAGGTGCTGCAAAACCAGATCCAAGGTACAAGGTCATCATGGCCAGTAACCGCCACTTGTTTTCCACAGAAAATGGCAAATTCTGTTGGGACAGAAAACAAACCACAAAAATGAAAGGTATCAGATTCTGTCAATCAAAATAGACAAGTACACAGAGAACTCTGGGAAAGTTAAGTAGACATACTCTTGGTGCTTGTACCACAAGTATTTGGCTTTCCTGAACATCATGTATGGTTTTAGGGACGCAGATGTAAAATAGGGGAACGACTTCCTATTTTTACAAATTTTTTATACACCATTGCAGAATGCAATGGTTAACATTCATGATGGGGAGTTTGTGCCTAAAGTAGCACATCGAATTCTTTACACTCTTCAGAGTCATTTTAGAAACACAACGCACTATGTTATTAGCGCACTGTTTATTAAACATTACCCACCTAACAGATGAGGCAATGCGGCCGCCTCTGTAAAACCTCTCTTTTCTGCGCGGAGCTCGCTTGCTACCTCCTCTTACTGCTTGCTACACCTCACCTAACCCTCCGAGGTCACTCCTGATGTCTCGGTTTACCAAGATTAACTGCGATTCACCTGCGATTAACTGGAGCTGTAATTAGGGAGGGCCAGTTAGCACTGCTAGTGTTAGTCAACCAGTTTTAGCAAACTGGGAGATAGAGCCTACCCAAGAGAAAAAGGGAGCAAGAAACGAAGATTAGAGAAAATTAGGACGTGTTAGGTTCTGGTACCAACTCCTCACAGTAGATGTGATCATTAGGCAAACACAGGCCGATAAAGGGACAAAATTGATCAACACCAGGCCTGATTCCCAGCCTCGAGCCCTCGCCGTCCCAGTGACCTTCACTCGGCCTGGCCTGCGGCGCTCTCTCGGGCTTCCGCACCCGCAGCTGCTCCGATCTGGGGATCGGTGAGAGCTGATGCCGGCGGGGTCCCCGGCCGCCCCTGGCCTGGCCGGCAGCGGGGCGAGCGCATTGCGGCCCAGGTCTCCCCGACCCCCGCGACGCCAGGCCCTCGCACTCACCTTCCCGGGCCCCTCCTCGTAGTGGCTGCGGCGCACCACAGAGGTTGTGAACCTCCGCACGCTCTGACCCAGCATGGTGCTGCTGGAAGCTCTGCGAAAGGCGCAGACACACAAGGCGGAAGACACCCTTGAGACCTCAAGCCTTGGCGCACTCGCGACCTTCTTCCCCGAACGGAAGAGACCGTAAAAGAAGATGGGAAATAGGCTTCAACTTCCGGGGGTCAACCCAGGGGCGGGCTCCGAGGATTGTGGGAATTGTAGTTGAGACCAGGGCGGCACCTCATCATCCTCAGAGATTTGTGGAAAATGTAGTCTGGAGCTGGATTAGAGAAAGATCAGAATCCGGTGATTTCTTAACAAAAATCATTCATTCAGACCTGGGTGCTTTTCTTCAGTCTGTTTCCCGAAACGACTTTGTTTAACTTCATCCTGAGTTTTCTAGTTTGTGAATGAGGAAAATAAATTTACCAGTTCTTTAGCAATATTAAGAGGCTCATGGTATGTTTTTTTCAGCGAACAGTAGTGTATAGCACACAAAGTAACAGTGACTTACACGACCGGATTTATCACCAGAATCAATGGAGACAAGAAAAATTACATAAAGTGGTAATAAAAAATAACTGTCAAACCAGGATTCTATATCCAGTGAAAATATTCCATCACGAGATGAAATAAATGCATTTTCATTCTAACACGAGATGAAATAAATGCATTTTCATGGAATGAATTAGTTACCAGCAGATACGCTAAATAATATGAAAGGGAAGTGTGGATAATCAGGTATAAATAAAATCACAAATTATAAATATCTGTATTTATAATACACTATTTCATTCTCCTAGGTCCCTAAAAGTATTGTGGTCCAGCTTTGTTTTGTTTTGTTTTGGTTTTTTTGCTTCATTTTTCTTGGGCTTTTTGGTCCCATAGGAGTTATTTTGATTTTTAAAACTTTTATTTCTTTTTAATTATTTGTCCATATGTGCAGTACACAGTGATTGAATTCACTGTAGGGAGCTGGTGCGTGTACCTGACACCTCTGATTCTTTTTATGTCCCTTTCCCACCTCTTGCTCCCTTTTGTCCATCTCAAGAACATACTAAGACATTTTTCTGAGGAAATAAAGCCTAAAACAAATAACTGAACAACAGGTGACACAATGGTTGTCAGAGACAAAACTGAGCTGAAGTGTTCCAAGGATGGATTCCCAAAGAAACAGAATTGATTATAAGTAAGGGATGGGAAACAGAGAAGATTCAAGTCCATTTGAAGTATGGCTTACCCAGAGTGTAGAAGCAAAAAGCAAACTCGGACATCTGCGTCTAATCTGGACTGGGAATTGATGTGTTCCTGCAGAGAATACACAATTTCATGGAGCATTGACCTCAGACAAGGCCACTTAGAGCTATGCCTATCAAGAAAAGAGGCACTGTGAAATCTTACTTACATATAGGTAAAAGGATATGAGCCAAGCTGCTGCTACATTAAGTTTGGTCCAAGACTATAGCTGTATTCGGTAATAAAGTATAGCTGAAAACTGTCTGTGCAGTATTTAGGAACTATATCCTAGCTTGATATGTAAACAAATTGTAACCAGACAACTAAGACTTAGCAGATAATTGAGTGGAACTTCAATAAGTCAATCACAGGCTGCAAACTGATCGGACCATGAATATATGGGGCAAATGCTGATGATAGCCAGTCTGTTGCTTCTATAAGTCATTTCTTTTTCTCTATAAATATAACCTATGCAGTTGGTGGGCCAGTCAGAATTGTCATTTGTTTGGAATGGTGATGATTCATTTATTTTCTCTCTCTGTTTCTGTGTGTGTCTCTTTCTCTTCCAACTAGATTTTGTTCAATTCAATTTGTCTTAGTTTTTCTTTTAACAACACAAATATGCTTAAATATTACTTATCTGGTTTAATATAACATTCCTGCATGTTAGTCAGTTGCATTCTAAGCCTTGGTTTAGTCTTTTTTTTCACTGAAAATTTGAGAAGATAGTAAATGTCCCAGAAAATATGCTCTAATATTCTAATGTCCTTTCTGAATTTTACCAAGAACTAGGAGAATCTTGTGGTGTATGGTTTCTGTTATTGCAAAAAATAATAATTAACTCAGTTCACTTATTTGTGTTGGGAAGAAACCCAAGGAAAATGAGATTAGGAATGTGATATTAGATTGTGAAGGATTTGCGAATCTAAGTGTCTTTTATTCATCAGTTGGGGTGTATACACTGCTTAACATGGCTAATTTATACAGTTATAGTAAACTATTGAAATAAAATGTAAGTTCTATTGCAAAAAAAAAACTTCCAAAAAATCAATGTTTTATTTCTAAAAATAGCTTCCCATTGAGTGGGGATACATGTAATGCAATATGTAGAAGACATATGACTGTATATTTTTAAAGTCCCACTCAGGGAAATTTTCATATTAGAAAACTCTAATGTAACTAAAACTAAGAAACTTTCTCATTTAATATTTTCAGATTCTACTTTTCTGTCTAATGTGAGTAATGCTACTTGTATATTTGGTTCGATTTTTCTTTTAGTTCACATTGAATCTCCTCTGTGTATCTGGCTTTGAGTCAACTCTTAAGGTGTTCAAAGTCCCAAGATTCCAAAATATGGATTCAGAATTGTCTTTCTCATTATGGTCTTGTAACTATACAGCTGTAATTCCTGTTATTGAGATTGTGTCAACCCTTCCATCCTTGACTCTAAATGGACTTCCTGTGACTATTTTGATTGACAGTGTTTGGAAAAACGGCAGCGTGCTCTTGTCTCATCCAGGTATAACAACACCACAGCTTCCTTTCCTGTCTTTTGGAACACTTTGCCTTGCAAGCCGCTTGACCACTTTCCTAGAAAGACTTCCTGAAGAGTCCCTGGTTCTTGCCAGGGGGTCACTGAGGTGCTGGACATATGAGTGCAGTCCTTTTGGATCTGCAGCTGAGCCCAGACCAACTGTATACTCCTGAGTGTCTTCCTTAATCCTGTGTAGAGTGGAGCTGTCCCACTGAGCCCGTCCAGGCTGTTGCTCAGTAGATCTGTAAGATTTAATAAGGTCATTGTTCTTTCAAGCAGTGAAGTTCAGGATAGTTTATTGTGCAGGGACAGATAATGAGAAGTGACATAGCAGCTTTACTTAAGGAAATCAGCCTTTTTCCTAACTCCCATGTGGGTACTTTCTTAACCTCCACCTGGGAATGGGAATTTGGCTATGTCATTCAAAAAAGGTATCTCAGCATAATACATACTTTTTTCTCTCAATTCATACTTCTTTGATAATCTTCCATCTGTAATGAAGCTGAGTTATGTTGAGCCTATCAAAACACAGAAATAATGCTATGTAGAATGTTTCTATAGGATGGCTTTATCACAGCTTTGGTACCCTTTGGAGTGTGCAGGACACTCAGAAATGTACTTTTCAGCACTTTAAAGCACACAGTGATTTGGAGATTAGGAGAGATTGAAAACACTCCGTTAGCTCTGGTCACACCTATATTTGCCTTCAGCTTTATGAAGATCTTAAAGAATAATTACCCAGACCATCCTCAGCTCCTGGAACTGTGTGAGACTCACCGTCAAGATGTTTTACTTAAGCCAACAAGTTTTGGAGTATTGTGTTATCCAGGAGTAGGAGCACCGAAGAGGAATCACACACTGCTTCTTACACAGGGATGCTAACAACCTGTATTCATATCAGAATGCCAGATTCATATCAGGCATGAAAAGTGAATCATTACAGAGCAACTTTAGATTCAATATGACAGGCTTTCACTATAAAATGCATTTTAAAAGCAAAGAGGCATTTTGTAAATTTATTGGTTAAAAATATAAAATACATTTAAGGATATGAGATTTACTCCAAAGATATATTTTAAAAGTGAAATCCAATTATTTTATGGACTGAGTAGGGTGTATATCACAGAGTGCAAAACATATTTTCTAGACTCATGTGAATCTTTGGAGACAGAAATTACATGATATAGACCAGTGTAACTAAAATTAAAATACAATCTTTCTCATTTCCTACAATAGCTGCTGTGTTAGGTTTTTAAGGGCTAGGTTGAAGTTTATTTAAAATAAACTGCTCAGTGCAAAAATTATGTTTCTAAACTACATTGCAAAACTCAAGTTAAACAATTTCTTTTGATGTTGAGCTTATAACACTTCTTGCTGTTGTAGTGATAACATCAGGATTCTTCGTTTATGAAAAAGGAAATTGTAGTTTCATAAAAAGGGCAAAATGTGATTCCTCAGAGGAAATTAGGGACGCAAATGTTCTGCCATTCTTTTGAATGACTAGATGACTCACTCTAAGATAAAGATCTTGAAAAAATGTTCACGGATCCATCTATACATTTTACTCTTCATCTTCTTTCCTGTTTTTCAACTACTCATTTCCTTTCTTTTTCTCCTGTTTTACTGTTTAAAACTCTACCTTGTGCCATTTTCTCCAAGAAGCCTTCCTGCAAGTCTTCAAAGGAATCAATTTTTTTTCTTTTAAGCAGACCTAGAATTTAATTTGTAATACTCTTAACGGCAGTAACTTCCTGCCTTGTAATTAGTTATGTTCCAGCTCCTTAGTAAAACATATACTTCTTAAGAAAAATAACTGTTTTAATCATCTTTGTATCCTATGACATAGTAGGTACCTCATAAATTTATGTAACAAGTGCAGGAAGAATGTTGTGTTCATTACAAATTGTTGCAGTACGTCTCTAACAGAAGAATCAGTATTTTTACAGAGACTTGTAATGCCTTTAATTCTATTTGCACTTGTTAAGCATGTTAAGAGAAGCTAGAATCACCTAGTTATTACCATGGACTTTCCAGGTAAGATTGCATTTAATCCTTATTGTACACCTATGAAGGAACTTTTGCTATGACAGCCTTTATTTTTATAGATGAAGTAACTGACAATTAATTTGAGTAACTTACTTTGAGCCTCAACATCTACTACCTAGCAGAACTAACATTCCAGTCAAATTCTGTCTGACTTCAAAGTTGCCACTCAATGGACAGGTGGAGTTCCTGAGGGGATGCATTGCTCATGTCTTAAGGTGAGTGAGAACTGGAATCCAGTTCATACATAACTGAGTACAGAAACCTGTGTGTGCATGTGTATGCATGTGTGGAAGTGTGTGTGTGTGTGTGTGTGTGTGTGTGTGTGTGTGTGTGTGTGTGTCTATGTGTGTGTAT